TGAGCTGCCCTTCTCCTGTGCCTCCTCTCTACCTGGATGATGATGGACTCCCCTTTCCCACGGATGTGATCCAGCATAGGTTACGGCAGATCGAAGCAGGGTACAAGCAAGAGGTGGAGCAGCTCCGTCGACAGGTTCGAGAGCTTCAGATGAGGCTAGACGTCCGTCACTGCTGTGCCCCTCCAGCAGAACCGCCCATGGACTATGAGGATGACTTTGTAAGTATTCACCAGCTGCCACCTGTCCATTCAGTAGTCACTTGTTGAGTACTGTCTGTGTGCCACTGAGTTAGGCACTCCTTTCAGGATGAAAGACAAGCAAACTGATATTCTGAGTGTTAAGATTGGGCAGGCACCGGGTGTTATGGAGGTAGAGTGGAGTAAAAAGGTCAAGGCAGGCTCTCCTGAGAACGTATTTAGCTGAGTGCTGAAGAATGTGTGATATTTAGCAAGGTAGACAGTGAAAGGGAGAGTGCATGTTCAGAAGCATGGAGGCATTATGTATGGCTTAACAAAGGGTGGGGTGTATGTGGGCATGTGTGTACACTTGCATATACTTTTGTGCTGGGATGGAGAGACAGGAAGTATAAATGAGCTAGCACTGGAGAATTAATGGAGCATCAGCTTGAGGACCTTTTGATGAGGCAAGTGAGACCCAGAGTAGGAGGCTGGTTAGTACATTTTTATTTATTTATTTATTTGAGACAGGGTTCCCCTATATATCTCTGGCCTTCCTGGAACTCGATTTGTAGACCAGGCTGGTCTTGATCTCCCTGAGATCCTCTTGCTTCTGCCTTCCAAATGCTAGGATTAAAGGCATGTACCACTATTCCTGGCTTGGCTGGGCCATTTTAAAACAATTCCGGTGAGGGATAAGGAGAACCATTCCGGCTTTACTGTCCTAGCTGTCTTAGATTCTGGCATTGCAGTCCTCAGGGAGCATCTAGGACTCATCTTGCCCCTTGCTGAATACATGGGTTGACCCCTTCCATTAATTAAGGTGCTCCTAGTTGTCTGCTGATAGAATAGACAGGACTAATAGCTTCTTACCTTCCAGGGTGATGCTTTAAATATTCAATCAACTTCTACTTGTACAGGCCAGATGATAAACATTTTTAGATTGTGTGGGCCAAACAGTCTATAAGACAACTATTGTGTGGCTGTGGTAACATAAAAGTAGTCACAGAGAATATGTAAATGAGTAGATATGGCTATGTTCCACTAAAACTTGATTTATGAAAACAGGATAGATTTGGCTTCTGGTTTGGCAACACTCAGCTTAGGGTATAACAAGAAGTACAGTCTTCACTATGCTGTGCTGTCACATACTGGTTAACAGATGGTTCTGAGCCAGAATACTAAGATTAAATATCAGCGTTACCACTTACGAGCTGTAGATGTCTGTGACTTAGTTTCTTTATTTTGTGCAGTGAGGATAATACGAATACAATTCACGATTACTCTGAGGACGTAAGTAAGTTTGTTCATGTAGTGCATGTAGAACAGAACTGATAAATGGCAAGTGCTGGAGCTGAGGGAAGTGATGCTGCTGTCTTTGCCTGTGTGTGCTGCAGACGTGTTTAAAGGAGTCAGACAGCAGTGACACTGAAGACTTTGGCTCTGATCACAGTGAAGACTGCCTTTCAGAAGCAAGCTGGGAACCTGTTGATAAAAAGGAGACTGAGGTATGTGTAGGCAAATGTGTGGCAGGTATTTAATGTAAGCCAGCGAGTTACATTTCTCAGAGATGAGGATGGCCTGAGGCCTAAACCGCCATATCCCAGATAAATATCATCCTTGTAGGCAAGTAATGGCCAGTCATAAAGACCATCCTGGTCATTTTCTCCTGGGATACTTTCCTGATTGCAATGTTGTTGTTCTCCTTTTTGAACGTGGACCTGGAATTTTCCCTTGTGCCTTCTGGTAGGTGACTCGCTGGGTTCCAGACCATATGGCCTCACACTGCTATAACTGTGACTGTGAATTCTGGTTGGCCAAACGAAGACATCATTGCAGGTAAGTTGTTTTTTTGGTTTGTTTTTGTTTTTGTTTTTTGTTGCATTTCATTGTTACTCATAATGTAGGATTCTATATATAGAATGAAAGTAAATTAATTGAAATTGGAGATACCTTAATAGTATTTTTGTTTACTCCTAGGCTTTTTATTTATTCATGGGAACCCTTTTAGACTCATTCATTCTCAGGACACTGATATTTCTAATTAGTTCCTCCCTCTTTGTACTTTGGCAGAAATTGTGGGAACGTATTCTGTGCTGGATGCTGCCACCTTAAGCTGCCCATTCCTGATCAGCAACTCTATGACCCAGTTCTTGTCTGTAACTCATGTTACGAACACATTCAAGTGTCTCGTGCCAGGGAACTTATGAGCCAGCACCTGAAGAAACCCATCGCTACGGCTTCCAGCTGAATGCCTGAGGAGATGACCTGTCCACTCTTAGCAGGTTTGAAGGGAGGAGGAGCTGCTTCAGGTGTAGTCTGGAAGGTTCCTTGGTATGGCTCATGAACACAGAGCTCAAAGATACCATCTTGAGAAATCCTCCTTGGTACCATGTGACTGCAGCAGAGGCATTTGAATTTGGCAGGAGATTTTCTGCTGGAGAGACCCTTACTTTGGGGTAATGGTCCTGATCCAGACCCAGAGTCTGGAAGCTTCACACTAAGTTGGTGACTCCAGCTTCTCTCCTGGAGGTCACAAGGTGATGATTTCATAAATAACTGCCTGGTGCAAAGTGCCCAAACAGCAATAGAAAGGCATACTCACAACCAAACTCCAAGTGATAATGAGACCCGTCTCTCCTCCACCTTGAGAAGAGCAGATCATAGTATACAAGATAGGACTTTCCATCCTATTTGAGAAGAACTCTCTTCCGTACCTCTGCGCTCTGTGTCTGTGCATGAAGGCTCCGTCTTTTAGAGGCGCTCCCTCTAGTTGCATTAGTACTGTCCTCTGTGGAGTCTGCTTCAAAGACTGGTTTGGCAAATGGAGGTTTTGATGTATTTTTCACCTGGCTCATTGGCCAGCATCAGTGAATATTCAATTTTTAGAGGGACAGTTCTAAGGATTAAGACGTTTTTGGAAACAGAGGAAAGCTCTGATGTGTAGTCTTGGCGAATATCGGTTATTTTGAGCTGTGAAGGCAGTTGTCACTCTGTTCCACAGTGGCTGCTCTTGAGGGTGTGCGCACTGTGAAGAATGAGAAGGGAAAAGCAAAATTATCCTTGTGAAATTCTGCGGATTGTGCCCTACCCTTTGCACCTGACTTTCCTAGTTGTCCTGGTGCTAACACGGGAGCTACACCTTGATCCGCCCCTGGCATGAAAATAAAGCAAAGGATTTTGTTGCTCCACTGCCCACTTTCCCCATGTTGTCTTTCCCTTGGCTGCTGCCTCCTCTGGGTCACACTGCTTCTTATCCTGAACACTTGACACCGTGAGGGTAGAATATAGCATTTGGTTTTTACCTCCTAGCATATGCTATTTGGTATGTGAGGGTTTCAGTACAAATGCTGCTGTCTATTTCTGTGCACTTAACAATGGAACCCAAACAGAAAGAAGAAAGCCTTGATACCAAAATTGGGAGTGATGATGTGTCCATTTGGACCAAACGTTTTGTTTTATTTTGATTTTGTTTTTCATCTTACTATGTACCAGTGGCACTTAACCAAAAGATACAGTAATATAGCCATGTACTGTGGTCGGGACAGGTACAGTCTCCTGGCTTATAGTGAAAGCACTAGGACTTCCTATCCGTGTTTTCCTTAATTCATTCATGTAGAAAAGATAAAATGCTTACTGTGTTAAAACTACAGCAGTTGTCTTCCTCGCTGCTACTGTCACGTTGCTTTCTAGAAAACATCTTTTTCATTCCAACTAACCAGAACCTGCATTTAGAATAGGAATCACTGTCCTGACCTTTTCTCCAGTTGTGCAGCAGAGCATCTGTGCCCCTTGTATATGAGTCATGGATGTAACCTAAAAAGTTTTGGCATATTTAGGTCAACCTAGCAGATTTGTTTTTCATTTAATATGGAGCTGAATAATGGAGATTTTGTCTGGGAAATTCCTAAGATCAATGAAAGAGTGACAAACTATTTGTCTGTGATACATAAAAATATTTTAAACATTTTCTCAATCATTAAAATTGACTGCCAGTCACAAGTGGCTTTTTAATTACCGACTTTCATTGCACTTCACTCTGTTTTCAGGGGATCGGTAACATTCTGGGAGACTGTATCTGTCTACTTTGTGTGACTGTTCTGAGGGACTGTCCCATCAGTGAACAAACTGCATGGCCTTGGAGAGAGACTCTGGGCTTCTGGCTCAGCTGTGTTTATCCTTTCAGAGCTGTTGTGGGTGTAAGTGACATGATGTGGCCAAAAATCCAAACTGTGCAGTTGCGTTGTGACAAACATGCAATGTGCTGTAAAAACTCAATACAGTTTAAATAAAATCTCTATATTAGTGCTGCTTTGTTGGGTCTTTTTATTTTTTAGTTTATTGGCATTGGAAGTGAACCTATGGCTTCATGGATAAAGCACTCCACCGCTGGACTAGATTCTAATTTCTAAGAAAATACAGTACTTTGAGCTGGGTATGACTATTGTGCTCTGAGTGCTCCGCAGTTGAAGGCAGGAGGATGAAGGCAAGTTTGAGGCCAGACTGGGCCATATACAAAACCAAACTGCAGTGTACTCATCTGAGCCCTCTCATGATTGGGTTTGTTGACTACATATGGGATTTATTCTATCCCTTTTCAAGTGAGGTTCAGTTCGCTTTATTGTCTGGGAGATCATAGCTGGTCAGCGAGCACATAGAACTGTCCCATCTTCTCATTATTCCCTTCCGCCAGGTACCGTGGGCCTTGTCTAATTTGAAGTCAAGTTTTCTTGAGTAATTTTTTTTAAGATAAAACAATGCTACTATATTACAAAATGAATTCGTGTGCTCTGGTTACTGTATCTAAAGGAGAGAGCAGCAATTCGACTGTTAGGAAAGACTATGGAGTGAGCTCCCTGTTCTCAGGAACCACTTGGCTGTGTATCACCTAAGCACACTCCACGTTCTGAATCCCCTGGGCCATCCTGTCCTGCGGAAGCCCCTCCGATCTTGCTGAGGTAAACTGGCCTCTTTCTCCTCAGGAACCACATTTCTCTAGTATGCTGCCTTCCGGGGGACCCGACAGAGAGGGGCAGGTTCTGGAGGGCCCGCGAAGGTGGCCCCAGTGTCCTGCCATCACCGTGGCAGGCGTGCGCCCCGCTGAGGGGGAGGGCGGGCTCGCGCCCCGTTGGCCACCACGCGGCGGGAACTCGAGGCCTCATTGGCCGCACCGGAGGGCGTGCGGGGACTCGTGCGCCAACGGTCCGGGCCTCGGCGGCCGGGCGCTGGCAGGAGGGGGCAGGGCGCAGCGAAGGCCCGGGGGATCGAGAACGGTGGGAGAGCCAGGCTCGGCGGGGCGAGGCCCAGGGCCGGGGCGGGCGATGGAGGAGGCGCTGCTGTCCACCCCCATCAACCCCAACAACTTCCCCGCCAAGCTGTGGCGGCTGGTGAACAGCCCTCGGTACCGCTCCATCCGCTGGGACGGCCGTGGCGAGGGGCTGCTCATTGACCAGCCGCTCTTCGAGGCCGAGCTGCTTAGCCCGCCGGGCCCGGGGGCCGGGGGCGCGGGAGGAGCCGGGAGCAGCGGCGGGGGTGGCGGCAGCGGCGTCGGGGCGGCCGGGGCCGAGCCCGAGCTCTTCAAAACCACCAACTTCACCAGCTTCATCCGCCAGCTCAACCTCTACGGCTTCCGCAAGGTGGTGCTGGGTGGGCCGGGGGCGGCGGGGCCCGGGCCAGGGCCTGGGGCTGGCGGGCCGGCGGGCGACGGGCCACTCCACCACTTCCACAGCCCGCACTTCCGTCGCGACCAGCCTCAACTGCTCGTTCACCTCAAGAGGCTCACCAGCGCCAACAAGGCCAAGCTGGCGGCCGGACTGGAGGTGCCCTGCCGCCCGCCCAACCGCTTCCAGCGGCTCCTCATCACGTCAGCATCCGCTTCTGCCTCAGCATCCACCTCCCCGTTGCAGCATCAGGACCCGCCGCCCCAGCCCGCAGGGCCCCGGCCAGAGCAGCATGGTGAGTGTGTGCCACCTGGATCCTTGCTCCCATCATGCACGTGGGCGCCAGGGAGTGAACACCATTTCTGCACAAGCCTAGGACTAGGTCACATCACCTGCATCGTCCTCAGTAGCATCTGCATTTCCTCTGGCAAGAGTCCATAAGCATCCCCTGGACAGTGTGTAGCTGCAAAAAAGCACATAGGTTTTAGGCTTGCTTTCCATTCTTCTCCAAGAGAGTGACCCCCCGAAGAGTTAATGTACTTCCAAACCTCTTTAGCCATTTACTTCTGCAAAGTCTCTCCAAGAAGTAGCCATTTATCCAAGCACCAGGTGGGAAGGGCCTCCATTGTCAGAAGAACAGGCACTCTGCAGGTTCCAGTGCGAATGAACAAAGTCACTGCCAAGAAAACCCAGGCTTTAACCCAGCCAAGGGAAAGGGGAACAGGTCCCTCGAGTGGAAATTTGAGCTTGAAGGGACATGCCACCTTCCACCTATTGACACATCTAAAAAATCATTGAAGTATTAATGAAAACAGTCGTATTTAAAGTTCCAAGTAATGTATATAGGGTGGTAGACTTTATATATCTAAGGGGTAAGCTTTGTTCCAGTGTAGAATCAATTCACTAATACTTATGTCACAGCATATTAGAACTTGAGATGCTACTGTTGGACAAACTTAAAGCAAAATAGCTAAAGACAAAACACAAACTAGATGTCAAGACTTAGTTTAAAAGAATTTCATAAAACATACATTTTTAGTTTATTGATTTTTCAATATTCCTGGTCATTCAGGATTGGGGGAGGGGGCCTGTGTGACTATTTAGTGAAAAATTCAGAAACCTTTGGTCAGTTATTTCATGGACTCGATTTGAGATGCATTCCCACACACAGGTGAGGGTGGCTCTGTTTCCTTGCTCTGTGGAGGCCACCGTAGACAGCAGTACCAAGGAAGCAACAGGATACACTAATCCAGATTTGGAATTCTGTTTTTTTTTAACCTTTAGATAAGTAATAAGAACATTTTCAGACTGTCAGCATGGTTAAACGTAAAGAAGTCTGGGGTTATTTTTGAAGCATGGAAAAAAGTTTAAATGTACAAATAACTATGGTCCCTTTAATCCTGGCCCAGTACTGAAGCAATACCAGTACTGCATTTGGAATTTGGAAGATTAGAGCCTAGGTTTTCTGTCTGTGGAGTTTGGAAGATAAGGAACTAGGGTAGAGTTCTAGTAACAAGCTGAGAAAAGTGGCGAGGGAATGTTCTAAAGGAATTCTAAAGGAAAAGTGAGTTGCCTCTGTGTGGTGATCTTTGATTTAGCTGGGGAATTGTCTAGAGAAAGACAGTGGAGACAGTTCCATGGAATATGTTTCGAGGAAACTAGCTTGGGTTGTTTGTTCATTTTGTTTTGTTTTTCAAGTCTTATTTCTAGAGGGCGTAAGGAGAAAAGACAGGGAGATAACATTGGTGTTTAAAGTTACATGTTTACTTATTTGTGTGTACTTGAGCACACGTGCTCTTGAGGTATGGCATATGTGTATGAAAGTCAAAGAGCAACTTGCTATGAGTCTGCTCTCTTCTACTGGGGATCAAACTCAAGTCATCAGACTGACTTGCTAGCAAGCTCCTTTACAAAGTGAGCCCTTTTTTTTGTTGTTATTATATTTTCCCAGGTGTATTCATAAGATCAGTGTGCAATTTATTTAAGCATGTTAAAGATTATCTGTTGAAGGAGTCATGCTTTTTGAGTGTGTGAGGTGTGTGAGTGTGTTTTCAGGCATCTGTTTTCTCCCTGTTGTTGTGTACAGAAGGCTGTTATCCATTGCCTATACTTAGTGCAGTAGGCAATTGTGTTCCTGCCTCAGGTGTAATGTAATTCTTTTGTAGTTTCAGGAATACTGTTGCAGTTGTTTCCTTCTGTGTGTCAAGGTCCTTGGCACTTCTAATTTTCCTTACCTTTAGGGTACAAGGTCTTGGGTATGTAGTCTAGGTTGATTTTGCAGTCTTCCCAACTCAACCTCCCTAAAGATGGTATTACAGGCATGTGCCCCCCTGCCAGTCTTCCCACATCCAATTTTTATTTTACTTCAACTTGCCTCAGTTATATGACTGCTGCTTCCTGCCTTCCAAATCCTCCTTAATTGTAGAATGGTCTGTCTTAGGGCCTAGTCTTCTAATGTAGATCCACTAAGTTAAGATAAAAAGTGTGAAGAGTCTGAGGTTTTTTCCTTTTTTTGTTAGTCCATTTATGTTATTTTCATTGACAATTTATAAAATTTGTTATACTGGTCAAATGAAGTTTAAGGTCTGGGAAGCAGATACTCTTGTGTGGTCATACAAGCTCTCCATAAGCAAATGTAAGGATTCTCTGATGGAAATGGTTAGTTTGGTTTCATTTCCATGAAAGGAATAGAATCTTTACAGTCAAAAATCCATCATGCCCCATGTTTCCAGAATTCTGAATTCAAATATTGCCAAATATACCTTAAAGAGGTCCTGAAGATACAAATATGATGGTTTATAAAGTTGATCAGAGAGAGCCCTATTAGCTAACCCTTAAAGGAATAAAAATGATCTGATCATGTTCTTTAGGAAGCAAGTTGAAGTAATGACCTTCCTCCCAACTTCTTTTTTTTTTTTTTTTTTTTTTTTTGGTTTTACGAGACAGGGTTTCTCTGTATTGTTTTGGAGGCTGTTGGTCCAGCCCGGCCTTGAACTCACAGAAATCCACCTGCCTCTGCCTCCCAAGTGCTGGGATTAAACACATGCGCCACCACCGCCCGGCTTCCTCCCAACTTCTTTTAGTGGCTATTTTTAGTAATACTTTGAAATTTTCATCATTTTGTATTTTGATCATACTCATCCCTCCCTCCCCCCTCCTCCTAAATCATTCCAGATCCACTCCATACATATAAATATATATATAATATATAAAACTGAGCTTAATTTACTTTATTTATTTTAGTTACTTCAAGACAGGGTTTCTTGTGTAGCCCTGGCTGTCCTGGAACTCGCTCTATAGACCAGGCTGGCCTAGAACTCACAAAGATCCACCTGCCTCTGCCTTCTGAGCTCTGGGATCAAAGATGTGTGCCGCCCCCACCCCACTCTGGGTCTAATTTATACCCCCCATGTACTCATGGGTGTGGAATCATCCCCTGGAGCATGGTTGCCCCATTAGGGGCCACACCCTTAGATAAAATTGACTCTCCTTTCCCCAGAAGCTATCAATTATTGATAGCTTCTGTCAGTAGTGAGGAATGACCTTCTAATCCTGACAGTATGCTTTTTTTTTTTTTTTTCTGAGATAGGGTTTCTCTGTGTAGCCCTGACTGTCCTGGAAGACCAGGCTGACCTCTAACTCACAGATCTGCGTGCCTCTGCCTCCCATGTGCTGTAATTAAAGGCCCGAGCCACCACTGCCTGACTCAGAATTTATTTTTCAGTTCAGATTTAAACTACATTTTTGGAACCCAATTAGATATTTAGCAGCCTATCTCTGGAAAGTCCAGAAGGTTTAGTAGGCAACCTGTAGTTTTGATATGTAAATCATAAGGAGAAATCAGGTAGGGGCTGGGAGTAGTTGGGTTGCTCAGAAACACTAGTTTCTTTAGGAATAGTCTGTGGTGAATGGAAGGCGTGTGACTGTAAGAAATTGGTAGGCCAGCATCATCATAAGAGCTGCTCTTTGTGCTTCAGAGGAAAAGTTGAGGTGGCTTTTTTTTTTTTTTGGCAGGACTGGAGGTCAAACCCAGAGCTTCACACATGCTGGGCAAGTTCCCTATTGCTGAGCTGGATCCCCAACCAATAAAAGTTTTAAAAAGATCTATCATTTGAATACTTTTGGTTTTCTAAACTAGTGTTTTTTGGTTTTTGTTTTTTTTTTTTCTTCTTCATTAGCTAGAGCGCTTGATTTCCCAGGCTCCGGATTTTGTGTTGTTAGTATTCACACATATATTTGTTTATTCTTGTTATTATTATTGTATTTGCTAAGGAAACTTGATTGCCATGGAAATAGAATGGGAGATGTATTATGTGTTGATTGGTTTATAATTTGATTATTTAAATGGGTAGATATTTGAATGACATCTGTCAACATGTACCTTAGCACTGAAGTCACACATAAATTAAGTTTTGCCTTTAATAAGGGTTAGCTCAATAAAATAAATTGCTTAATAAAATGATTAGTTTAAGAAAACATGTTGAAAGGAAATTGTGAGCCATATAATCAATAGGTAATAATCTCCTTCTGGATAAGTTAGTTTGTTCTTTATATTCAAGAATTACAGTCCATAAAGTAAATCCAGGCTATACTATTTATAGCCATCCTTTTCTCATTACATTCTTTTGTCCTTTTCCTCTCATTTTTCTATCTGGTTAGATAAGGAACAACAAAATGCTGTGTCAGAGTCTCTGAGATTAGTTAGATAGCGGAAGTTTAATCAGTGCTTCCTATAATGCATGTGAAAGTCAAACATGTGAAGGCCACTGATATCTGGGAACGCTCTCTATTAGAGACTAAAGAAAAAGAAAGGTTCAGGGCTTGTACCGTGGCTTAGTGGGTCAAGTGCTTGTCTAGCGTATGCAAATAATATGTCAGGGTTTGATTCCCAGACCTGAAAAGAGAGAAAAAAATCATGAAAAAGGATTGCTTGCTTGCTTGATTGAAAAGATGAAGAAAACTAGATGAAAGTTATCAAGCCTGACTTTTTTTTTTCTTTTCTTTCTTTCTTTTTTTTCGATGTTAAAGCAAAGTCTTTTATTAACGAGTTAACTGTATTAACCTAGTTCCTCCATCTATCTGACACAGCGGGTGGGGCAAGAAGGACCAAGCCTGACTTTTCTATTAGGATTTTTTTCTTTTTGTTAAGCAGAGTGTGGAGGCACATGCCTTTGCTCCTAGCACTCAGTTAGCTGAGGCAGGACAATTGCTTCAGTGCTTTACTTATACCTGGACTATGTAGTGAGTAGTCAGCCCGTGTTAGGACAACATAGCAAGACTGTCTCTAAAAATTAACTACATAAATAAATATAAAATAAATAAATCAAGGGACCAGTGAATTGCTGAATTCGATCTCCCATAACCCACTTTGGTAGAGGGGAGAACTAACTACTGAAAATTGTGGCAGCCATGCTCAAACAATAAGTAAATAATTAATCATTGCAATAAAGAAATAAACATAAAAGTAATTAAAAGGACAGAGGGCATGATATCTCTTTGTGGTTCATGTTATGAATTTTTACTTGTTCTGAACATTTCTTTTATGTGTGTAGTAGAGCAATACTTTCCTAACTTATTAAAGTTCCTGTCTTCAATGAATGCATGGAAAACTTTTGATCTAATTTGAACACTATCAGTTAGCCACTTTACCTTTTATGACAGTCATGTTGAGAATCACCAAGAGTTAGTTATTCTTTCAATACTGTATATTGAATTGGTTTTTGCTTAATTCAAAGTTCTGTTGTGTAAAAAATAGCTGGTAGATGAAAAGCTGCATAGCTCTGATCTTTGATTTACTGTCTGATGGCGTATTGTAAAGTTTGTAAATGTGTTCTTCCTCTCTTATGCAGGACCAGTGGCTGTAGGACAATTCCACCGGTCATTCCGGCGAGATAATTTGTCTCCTTACTCCTACGTATCAACTTCTTCCCACAACCACAGCACTTTCCCTCTGAAAGGTTTAGATCGAACCCCGATTCCTCCTAGAACATGGCAGAACTCCCTTGGAATGCACCCTGGACAAGTGGAGACATCTCCCACTTTTTCAGAAAAAGGGGTTCCATTTCCTGTACTGCAGAGATTTCCAACTGAGGTTACTTATACGCTGCAGCCCAGCGCCACATCTGTACACGTTCAACAAGGTCCTCAAACAATGGTCAGCTCCTCCCAAAAATATAGCAACTACACACCCTCGGCGCAGTACTCCCAAGCCTACTATCCAACAGGTAGGAGACATTCAAGTTCAGTGACTTCTGTACAGGTAGTTTCTAAGAACATCTGTATTTTTGTAGCATTTTAATCCTTGTGTGCTTAACAAATAGGAATATTCGTTTAAAAAATGTCAATGACTTCTTAGCCAGACACATTTTTAAACGATATATAGTGATTAAGGGCTGGAGAGATGGCTCAGTGGTTAAGAGAGTATACTGCTCTTGTAGAGGGCCCTAGCATCCATGTCAGGGGGCTCACAGCTGCCTGTAACTTCAGCTTCAGGGGAGCCAATGTCTCTGGCATTCACTAGTATCTGCACTCACTGCATATATCCCTAATTCAACATAAAATAAATCTTACATGTATAATACATATATGAAGTTTCATCTGTTCTTAAGGATTTTGAGGATCTGTTACCACATAAAAGTGTATATTTCAGCCAGGCAGTGGTGGTGCACGCCTTTAATCCCAGCACATGGGAGGCAGAGGCGAACCTGGTCTATAGAATGAGTTTTGGACAGCTAGACAGAGAGACCCTGTCTCAAAAAAACAAACCAAAAAAAGGTATAATCTTCAGTGAAATGATAATTCTATATCCTCAAAGTGTATTCTAGTTCTGAATTTAAGATTTAGTGCCCTGGGAGTCTGAAGAGATGGCTCACTGGTTAAGAGCCCCGGCTGCTTTTCCAGAGGACCTAGGTTCAATTCCCAGCACTCACATGACAGCTCACAACTGCCTGTAACTTCAGTTTCAGAGTATCTGACATACATACAGACAAAACACCAATGCACATAAAAAAGAGAAATTTAAGCCGGCGTTGGTGGCGTACATCTTTAATTCCAGCATTCGGGAGGCAGAGGCAGGCGGATCTCTGTGAGTTAGAGGCCAGCCTGGTCTTCAAACAGAGTTCCAGCACAGTCTCCAAGCCTGCAGAGAAACCCTGTCTCGAAACCTCCCCTCCCAAAAAAGAAAAGAAAATGGTTCAAGTAGTTAATACTGTTCATTCTTTGGAGAAATAGTATTCATTAAATTATTTATTTGGGATGTGAGACGTGGCTTAGTGATGGCATTCTAGTACATGACATGAAGCAAGTGAAACTATTTGCACATTCCAAAGCACTTTATAAATAGAGCTGTCTGCTGTGGAAAAGAGAGTTCCATAAAAATACTGTGCATTTGCCTAACTTCTCTCTACAGAGGGTGAAGGATACAAAATACTAAGCAATATACTCACTACTTACTGAGACGCTATTTGTGAACAGCGTTATGAACAGCCGTCTCAGGCTAAATCAGCTGCTAGTGCTGAAAGGCAAGACAGCCCCTACCACATTCGGGTAGGTTACAACAGAGAGACTGAGAAGTGATGGTCCAGTCCCTTCAAAACAAACTCTTGTGAGCTGAGGCTCAGATAAAATTTTAATAAAAAAACTAGACTTCTAAAAATCAGTTGTGAGACTCTGGAGAGACAGCGTGATGGTTAAGAGCACTGGCTGTGTTTGCAGAGGACCTGGGTTCAGTTCCCAACATCCACATGATGGCTCACAGTCATTTCTAATTCCAATTCCAGGAGTTTTGGTGCCCTTTTCTGGCTTATGTGGCCAGGGAAAAAAAGCTGCTTTTTTTTTTTTTAAACTCTAGCATTCAGGAGGCAGAGACAGTCATGTCTCTTAAGTTCAAGACCAGTCTGGTCTACAAAGTGAGTTCTGGGATAGCCAGGACTTTGTAGTAAGACTCTATTTCAAAATAAATAAATAAATAAATAAAATAATTTGGGTAAAAAATACACTTGGATTTGGCCTCTTTAAATAGTATGACTACCAAAATTTCATAATTTTTATAGTAAAGCCAAATCCAGGAACTGAAGCATGCCATCAAACCGTCTAATTCAATGGCCATCGGAGTCTTCTATATTTACCTCTCCTTTGGAACACTAATTTTCCTTGCCTGGCACATTTTTATTTTTTATTTTTGAGGCAGGGTTTCTCTGTATTGTTTTGGAGGCTGTCTTGAAACTAGCTCTTGTAGACCAGACTGGTCTCGAACTCACAGAGATCCGCCTGCCTCTGCCTCCCGAGTGCTGGGATTAAAGGCATGTGCCACCACCGCCCGGCTTGCCTGGAACATTTTTAAATTCATAATTCTTTAAAGACAAACTGTTGTATCTGGTGTTAGTTAATTCTGTCCTGAATCTAACCCCTCTGTTACTACAATCTCCCTCTTTTGTAGAAAATGTTCACTTTAGGCCTTTTACTTTTACTTATTTTTACTATATATTTCAATATACCTAATATTCATTTATCCATATTTACCTATCAAGTTCTGTTAAGAATTTTTTTTCTTGACTAACATGCTAAATTGGCTCAAAGTCAACTTTGTCTTCTTTTCAGAATTATTTCTTTCCTTTCTGTGTGTATGTATGTGGTATTTGTGTGTATGTTCAAATGTGTTGTGGGTGTCTGTGCACGTATGTGTACATGCATAAAAAGGACAAAGGTTGAAGCTGGGAGTTTTCTTGATCACTGTAAACTTTATTTTTTGAGGCTGGGTCTCTCTGTGGTTGGCTGGCACAGCTAGTCAGCATGCGACGGGTCTACTGTTTCTGCAAGTTGCGTTTGTTAGGTCAAAGTGTGATGATTAACAGATTATAACTGTCCTTAATTCATTGTAAAAGGGGTACCTGTGAGTAAGGACTTTCCAAACGTTAACTCATTTAATTCTCAGACTTCCTCAGGAGATTGAGTTTTGTCATTTTACAGATGGGGAAACTGAGGCATTATTAGTAAGTGACAACTGATGGAGAAGCCCAGTCAGTTGGCTTTTTTTTCCTTTTTGCTACCTGCCTACATTCTTAGAAGTGCCCCCAACACACATGTATTGTGTGTGTGTGTGTGTGTGTGTGTGTGTGTGTGTGTGTGTGTGTGTGTGTGTGTTGTTGCTGCTGTTTCTGTTGTTTTGCTGTATTTCTCTTTTAGGGGAATCTTGTCAGGTGCGGTAGTCAAAGAAGTTGGTGGAGAGATGTATCCTTGTATGCTTCTGGTGGCATTGGGAACATGCTCCAGATGTTAGAGTGGGAAGGCCAAATTGGGAGCTCAGGGGAGTGGCTGCTTTCAATGTGTTTCAGTATCCTCTCCTCTTAGCCTAGTTCTTGATTATAATGGACCCCTGGTAAACATTCCATCTGATGTGGCCATTAATGGGTTATCATAATTCTCAATTTCTCATCCTATAAGGAGGCCATAATTGTTTTGGGCCAGAAACTGAATAATACCCATGAATAGGTTTTGTAAAAATTAAAACAGGACTAACATGCAAAGCATAAAATACTTTAACCCATATGGGAGTACACACCTGTAATCTCAGCACTTGAGATGTAGAGGCACTTGGTTCTGGAATTCAAGGTCAGCCTGAGCTACATGAGACCCTGTCTCAAAAACCAAACACCCCCCCCCACACACACATACACACAGGCACACATGTACACACGCACACACACACACACACACACACACACACACACACACACACTAAGAGCTGAGGAGATGGTTCAGTCAGTATTGCTACACAAGCATGAGGACCTGGGTTTGGACACCCAGCCCCACATAAAATGCCCAGTGGTGTATGTATGCCTGTAGTCCTCATACTGGGGGGCAGAGGAAAAGGATCCCTAAGGCTTGGTGGCTAAGCAGTTTAGCTGAAGCACTGAGCTCCAGCTTCAGGGAGACAGTCCCTCAAAAACTGAGGAAGAAAAAGATGAAGGAAGATACTTGACACAAACAAACCTCTGGATTGCACACACACACACACACACACGCACGCACACGATAAACATTTTCAAAATTAGTCTTTTAAATGAGGCTAGTAACTAATACTATAAAGGCTAGTTTGTATAAATATTTGCCTTGGGGCCTAGAAAGTTGGCTCAGAGTTAGTCTAGAAATGCCTGTAACTCCAGCTCCAGGGGACCCAGTGTTCTCTGTTGACCACCATGAGCACCTGAACTCATACACAAACCCACATGAAGTTGTATACATAATTGACATAAAATCTTGAAATACAAGATACATTAAATATTTGAATATTTTTATTTTAAATATATTTTTCATTATTTAAAATTGTGTTTGAATTGGTCCTTGGGCAAAAGAGTTGCTTATAAGCATTATCATCATTGTTATTTGAAACAGTTTCTCACGTTGTGGCTCTGGTTGGCTGGTAACTCACAGAGGTCTCCGTTTCTGCCTCCGAATGCTGGGATTAAAGGCTCTCATTGGTTTTTGTCTGTGTGTTTGCTTTTCTAAAACAGGGTTTCTCTGTGTAGCTCTGGCTGTTCTAGAACTCACTCTGTAGACCAGGCTAGCCTTGAATTTACAGAGATCTGCCTGCCTCTGCCTCCTAAGTCCTGGAATTAAAGACATGGCACTCATTGCTTTTTAAAGCATTGGGAGAGAGGGCGGCAGAGAGTGTTTGGTTAGAACCTAGGCTTTGCACATGCTAGGTAAACACTCTACCATTGGAAAATTTTACCTTCAAAAGTTTGGTTTATAGGTTTTTGGTCCTGCATGGTGTACATAAACACAGAATATGGAGTCACGCATTTCCCCAGTGTTGTTACTATGCTCAGATACAGTATAACACTTATGGAAAAGGGGGACTTGTCACAGGGAAGCTCTTTATCTCCCAGAAGAAACAAAGCAAAAGCATGCCATCTTTATAATAAAATGTACATAATCAAACTTTAACTTGTCTGTGGCATTTTACATCAACCATTACCATTAGACAGCCCCAAAACTTTTTGATTTTCCCAATCTGAAAATTAATACCTATTATATGCTAACTCTCTATTGCCTCCTTTTCCATCCCTGGCAGCCTGCCATCCTTCCTGTCTGTGAATTTGACTATTCTCGATAGATATCTCATATAAGTTGAACTATATAATATTTAATATGTAAATTTGACATTTTAAGTTTTACAGTTCATTGTCAGTAACTCACAATATGGTGAATCATTCACTAAATTCACAACATTCACTAAGTCAGCATTTCCAAATGAAACTGTACTAAGCAGTAGCTTTTCATTCTTCCTGTCTTCCACTCCTTGGCAGTTACTAGCTGTCTGTCTATGATGAATATGACGATCTAGGGTCCCCACATGTATTTATATAATGGTTACCGTTTGTTTGTTTGTTTGTTTATGGTTTTTCCAGACAGGGTTTCTCTGTATTGTTTTGGAGGCTGTCCTGGAACTCACTCTGTAGACCAGGCTGGTCTCGAACTCACAGAGATCCGCCTGCCTCTGCCTCCCCAGTGCTGGGATTAAAGGCGTGCGCCACCACTGCCAGCCAGTATGTCCTTTTTTTTTTTTTTTTGAGACAGGATATTGTTGTGTGTTGTAGGTTAGCTTCGAACTCAGAGTTCTCCCTCCTGAGCTTCCTGAGTGTTAAGAGTCAGCATCACTATCACTATTCCCAACTTAAAAGTATTTTTTCAGGCTAGTCAGTGATGGTTCATGCCTTTAATTCTGGCACTTGGGAGGCAGAGGCAGGGGCATTTCTGAGTTCAAGGCCAGCCTGGTGTACAGAGTAAGTTCCAGGACAGCCAGAACTACACCAAGAAACACTGTCTCAAAAAACAAAACAATAACAAAAAACCCCTAAAAATTCAGATTTCTATTTTCATTTATGAGTATACAGATGCACATCCACTATACCAATACGTTCTATATCCCATCGTTAAGTTGAAGGTATATTAAAATACATTTGATACACCTAACATTCAGAACTTCCACAGTTTAATAGGGCATTATAGGGTATTGGTTGTTGAGAGCTGGGGCTCACTGTTGCTGCCCAGCATCTCAGGAGTAATGAGCTGAGGAACAAGATAAGGTTTCAGGGTGTGGTTTTACACTGAATGCTTATCATTCTTACACTATTGTAAAGTTGAAAGATTATTAAGGACTGTATTATTGCCAGGGGAATTTTCTTCACCACAAATGAGATATTAGCACTTTAGTTGCTATAGTAACTTAATCTTGGAATTAAATGTATTATTAAATCTACTGTTTCTTTTGAGCATTTATGTGACTGGACATTTTCTCATTATTAACACTCTGTTGCCCTGGAATAGATTCATATCTGAAACATTATATTCTTTAATTATTTCCATAGAGCTGGGCATAGTGGTGCATGCCCTTAGTTTCAGCACTTGGAGGCAGAGGCAAGCAGGTCTCTGTTGAGTTGGAGGCTAGCCTGGACTACAATGTGAATTCTAGGACAGCCAGGGGTGTTAAACAGAGAAGCCCTGTCTTGAGAAACAAAACAAAACAAATTATTTCCATAAGATAAAGTGCAAATGTGTTCGCGTTACCTATACTGAGGGCAATGATTTTCAGTAATTCTGATTTTTTTTTTTAGTAATTCTGAATTTTTATTACTCAGAAAGTTTTAAATGCCCTCCACTCTTAAGGTGGCATGTGAAGGGAATTCTAGTTTGTTGTTTACACTTTTTTTCCCCTGGGACAAAGGTTCTTTGTGGCTTTGGGGGCTGTCCTGGAACTAACTCTTGTAGACCAGGCTGGCCTCAAACTCACAGAGATCTGCCTGCCTCTGCCTCCCATGTGCTGGGATTAAAGAAGTGCGCCACCACCGTCTGGCCTATACTTTTTCTTGTACAAGGTGCTGAATGCCTGAAGTGGGTATTGCCTTCAAGAAGACAAAGCAAGAAATTTAAACAGAAGTGTGTCTTGGGACACAGGGATAACTTGGTTTCATAGTGTTATTGCTTTCATGATGCACAGTAAATTAATTTTTCATATATTAAGCGCAAACTTGGATTTTGGCACGTATGTATTCTATTCCTCATGCTTGGCTAAAAAGCACACTCTGCTCTTAGTTGACTGTATGAAGTGGCTGCACTGGTAAGCAGGGGTCTTTGGAGAGTGTAACTTCACAAGCTCTCTTTTCTGTTCCATTTCTCATCTCTTACTGGACATGCTGAATAGCATTTATGGTCTTCTGTTTTCTTACACACAAGAATCAGCTATCAACTCTATATTATAATGACGTTTTCAGAGCTATATTATACTTTTATTTCTCCAACAAATTTATTTTAGAGACCATTTTAATCTCTTCAGTTACAGAGTGAGTTTTTGGCCAGCCTAGGCTGCGTGAGACCCTGTCTCAAAACAACAAGAAATTACAAAAGTGGACATAACCTTTTAAGCATTTATTACAACCAGGTATAGATACAACATTTATAAACTCAGCACAAAAGGAAGAGAGCTAAGAGGATACAGGAGTTCACAGTTAGCCAGGGATACACAGCAAGAACTTGTCTTAAAAAACAATAAATAAAAAGTTTAAACATACTATAGGACCATTTTTTTTTTAAAGTAGTCAACAGCGCCTACTTTTTTGGTAAGTGTGTGTGTGTGCCCATGCGTGCCGCGGGAAGGATGTTGTTTGAACGCTATCTCTTATTTGGTTGATGTCTTGTTTGTATTTGCATCTGTTCCAGCTGTGCTACAGTGCTGTTCTCCTTCCACGCACATGGATGCCCTAAGTAGCTGTGTCACTCCTACTGCCTCTTCCTATGCACACTGTAACTACTTCCAGGTAAGATGATTGCACACACTGTGCTTGGCAATACTGTTAATTTAGCAGATTTTTCAAAGGAGAAGCCAGAAATAAGCTGGGTTTGTGGGTAGTTTTCTGTAAATGAAAGAGGGATGATGTGAATGCTGCCTGAGTATTATTCTTGGCTAGCATGGTCCAATATGGGAGTCATTAGCTTCATGGAGCCTTTTTGTTTCTGGGCTTTGCTTTCCTTTTTTGAGACAGGGTCTCGCTCTATCAGCAAAACTGGTCTTAAATTCATGATCCTTGCCGGGTGGTGGCGGCGCACGTCTTTAATCCCAGCACTCGGGAGGCAGAGGCAGGCGGATCTCTGTGAGTTTGAGGCCAGGCTGGACCAACAGCCTCCAAAACAATACAGAGAAATCCTGTCTCATAAAAACCAAAATAAATAAATAAAAAAAAAATTAATGATCCTTATGTCTCCGCCTTAATGTTGGACCACAGCTGTGTATACCACCAAGCCCACATGTGTCCTTTTTACTTTAAATTACTGGGCTAGGGATTTAGGCCCCAGTACTGAAAAAAATTAATGAAAATTTAAAACTCTTTCCATAGCCACACTTCATTCCAGTTGTTCAGTAGTCTTGTGGTTAATGATCATGAAACTGCAGCAGAGAAATGCAGTGTTTCCATAGCTGCTGACCACTATTTTGTATTGTACTGTTCTAGGCTCTTTCAGGGTAAGGTGAATACCAGAAAAACTCAGGCTATCCAAAATGAGAAATGTAATTGCTGGCCCCTTCAGCCTTAGCATGCATGTTGTAAACACTGTACTTCACATATCTTGTCAGTATTTCTTATACTGGTTTATATTGGTGTTTTTAGAATAAGAACAGATTATATGCTATGCAGTTAGTGCTATAATTCCTAGAGGGAAATTATGTGTTTGCGAAGATAACAATCTAGCTAAAATAGCTTTGCTTTTAAGAGAATTTGTGTGTGTGTGTGTGTGTGTGTGTGTGTGTGTGTGTGTGTTGCAGTGCTGGGGATTGAACCCAGGACTTTACATGTTAGGCAAACACTACAACCAGCCCAATAGAATATTTTCCTAGTGGTATTAGGGTACTCCAAAAGACATTTATTTTTATTGAAAGCATGGAAAGTAGATAATCAGACTATTATTTGAAGAATGTAGAGTCTGATAAAGCTGGATAGGTAGACAAGGTGGCTAACCTTGTCCTTTTTTTCTCTCTCTCTTTTTCTTTTCTTTTTTTAAAGGTAAGGTTTCCATCTATAGCCTTTGCTGTCCTGGAACTCTCTATGTAGCTCAGGCTAGCTTTGAGTTCATGAAAATCATTCTACCTCCTGCATGCTGGGATTACAGGTGTCAGCAACCACATTTTGCTTAGTTGGCTATTTGTTTGTTTTTCTCTGTGTATCCCTGGCTATCTTGGCGCTCACTCTGTAAATCATGCTAACCTCAAACTCACAAAGATCTCTCTGCCTCTGCTTCCCAAGTGCTGGGATTAAAGGCGTGTGCCACCACGGCCTGGCCTTTAGTTGGCCTTTACTTATTTTTTTAAGATTCATTTATTTCATGTAGATGAGTGTTCTATCAACTTTATGCCGGAAGAGGGCATGAGATCCCACTATATAGATGGTTGTGAGCCACCATGTGGTTGCAGGGAATTGAGTGCAGGACCCCTGGAAGAGTGGCCACTGCTCTTAGCCACTGAGACATCTCTCCGCTCCCCTAGTTGGCTATTTTTTTATGACTAGTATCATCAGACATGATGCTTTAAGTTCATCTTCTTTAAAGGGGTGTACTTAATCCACAACTAGATGTTCTTGTTTATACATTTTCTCTTTTCTCTAGAGTATGCTAGAAATATACTGATGGTGTTTATGTCTATGTTCAAATTTTAAATGCATTATTTGAACATTTTATATGCATTTCTTACAAATACATTTCTTACAATACACGTTAATCTTAGAAAAATGGAAATAAGTATATATAAAATTTTTTAAAAATGGGAAGACATGGCAGTCGGTAATGGTGCACGCCTTTAATCCCAGCACTTAGGAGGCAGAGGCAGGTGGATTTCAGTGAGTTTAAGGCCAGCTTGGTCTACAAAGTGAGTGACAGGACAGCCAGAACTGTCACACAGAGAAACCCTGTCTGGGGAAAATAAAGAGTGAAAACACAAAGCATTTCAGATTCCATTTATTTTTCAATATAGTAAGTACTAGATATACTGGCATATGTCTTTAATACCAGCACTCAGGAGATAGAGGCAGGCAGATCTCTATGAACTCAAGGACAGCCTAGTCTACAGAGTGAGTTCCAGGACTACAAAAAAACTCTGCATAGAAAAATCAAAACAAAATAAAACAAAAATTTATGTGATAAATTTAGTGGCATTGTTGGCTCCAGTGAGGATATGCATGAAAAGTTAAGGATTGGCCAACAAGCTATCTCAGCAGGGAAAAGTGCTCGCCACCAAGTTAGACAACGTGGATCCGATTTCCAGGGCCCTTGTGGTGGAAGGAGATAATAACAGACTTCTATAAGTTGTCTTTCAACCTCCACATGCACACATTGGCGGCATTTGGAATTTGAGAGAGTGTGTGTGCATATAAACACAATCACAGTAAAAAAAAAACAGTTCTGGAGGAAAAAAATAGCAGAAGTCAGGCAAAACTAAGACTGGACCCTGGCTCTGTCAGTTATTTCAGCATAAGGTTTTAGCTAGGCATGGTTACACATTTCTGTAATTTCAACACCCAAGAAGCTAAGGCAAGAAGTTTCAAGTTTAAGAACAGTCTGAACTACATAATGAGTTCCAGGCTAGCTTGGCCTATGTATCAAGATCCTTTCTTAAAACAAAACCAAAACAAGCAAACAAACAAAAAACCAAACGTGATAAAGTAGGACCAGTATGGTTCAGTGCAAGCCTGATGACCTGAATTTGAGTCCCAGAACACATGTAAAGGTGGAAGAGAGGACAGTCTTCCCAGGGCTGTCCTATGATTTTCACATTGGTGCCATGGCACACACACCATCCACCGCGATAATAAATAAATATTTAAGTGATAAGCTAAATTTTATCATTTTGAAATGGAAATCATTGAGCTGAAGGTGTAGCTTAGTTGGCAGAGTGCTTGCCTGGGATGCATGAAGCCCTTGGTTTGATGAGGTCCTTATAAACAGGGTGTGAGTCACATGACCGTAGTCTTAGTACAGGCGGAAGTAGGAAGGTCAGAAGGTCAACGCTAACCTCAGTTCTATAGGGAGTTTGAGGCCAGCCTTAGATGTGTAAGTCCCTTTCTCAAAAATAAATAAATAAAAATGAGTGAAGGACATCACATTTCATAGGGCTTTTGAGGATTAAATGAAGTAATGTCTGTAAAGCACTCAGAATGTGTTTGGCACACACTTAAGAACTCAAGTGGTGATATTGTCTATAGTAACTTCATGCTTGCACTATTTGAGTTTGCATTATTTACTCTAAACATCAACATGATCCTTGTAGTGTTTTCAGCAGTATCAGCTCTTCCTATGTTTTATCTAATTATAGTATTTCTGTTTATAATCTGGAATGATATGCCATCTATTGAATGTCTAGTTAAAGCACTGTTTAATTATTTATCTTTAAAGTTTTATTTATTTATTTTGTATACAATGTTCTGTCTGCATGTATGCCTGCAAGGCAAAAGAAGGCACCAGGTCTCAATACAGATGGTTGTGAGCCACCATGTGGTTTCTGGGAATTGAACTCAGGAACTCTGGAGGAGCAGCCACTGCTCCTAACTGCTGAGCCATCTCTCCAGCCCTATTTAAGCACTATTTATAAGAACATATCTTTAAATTTTTTTGAAACAGGTTCAATCTATGTAGCCCTAGATGTCCTGGAACTTACTGTGTGGATTAGGCTGGCCTCAAACTTGTGGTGATCCTCCTGACTCTGCATCCCAGATGCTGGGATTAGAAGTGTGTTCCATCACACTCTGCTAAGAAAATATATCTTAAAGATATAAATCTAAAAGCAACAACTCTTCTAGTCTGTTGCTTTATTATTAAAACAGTCTCAGGAACCAGAGGACATTTGACATTCCACCCATTTCTCCCCAGGTGTTTGGGAACCAAGTATTAGTGTCTCCCCCCCCCAATTTATAGAAGGATTGATGGACTTATTCTGTATTTTAAGATCTCCTTACTCCTTAAATTAGTGCATGATAAATAAAGTGACATTTTGTCAGTCTTCATGGAGGATTATAGTATATAGACATTTTGTCAGCAAATAGGTATTTGGGTACTGTAGCCTTTTTTAGATTTATTTATATATATAATACATATATATATATTTTTTCGAGACAGGGTTTCTCTGTATTGTTTTGGAGGCTGTCCTGGAACTCACCAAGCTGGCCTCAAATTCACAGAGATCTGCCTTCCTCTGCCTCCGGAGTGCTGGGATTAAAAGTGTGTGCCACCACCGCCCGGCTCCTTTTCATATTTTTTATCCTGAGAATTAGTAGTCTATTCCAGTACTAAACTTACATGGTTGGTGTATGATATGTACTAAGCAAATGTTACTGATAGCACATTTAAAGCTACCACTGCTGAAAAGCAAATTACCTTCAGGTTTTCTTTCTTTTTTGATGTTGGTAACTGAACCTAGGCCTGAGTATGCTAGGCATTGCTCTACTATTGAGCTATATTCCTAGCCCCACTTTCAGGTTTTGTAGTGAGCTCAAGTTTACTGTATTTAGCATTCATGAACTTAAATGTTACTACTTTCCTCCTTAATTTTATACTTGATTTTCTATCCAAACAGTACTATTTTCTCTTTTCCCAGAATCCTCCAATGCAATCTTCCTATCCAGTTGAATTTCTGCCTTCTAATTGGCCTTGCAGTGCTACTGATGAAAATAAAAAGACAGAAGTAAATCTAGAGGCTGTCTTTCAAATAGTAGATGAGTTGCATTCCTCCCCTAAATTGGAGATGGTAAAGGTGGAGCCTGTTGAGAATCAGTGTCCATCATCTCAGTCTAACAGAGGCCAACATATCTTACCTAACTCAAACAACAGCAATCCATCTTCCACAAGTCAGGCTAGCCAACTGGAGCCACTTACTCCTGTAGGCTCAGATATTACGTCTTTTGTGGTTGGAACAGAACAAGCAATTACCTGCTCTCTACCACAGTCACCTGAGTACATCTATACCATCCACACAGCTCAACCTTTGGAAAATAGCACAATGCAGGAATCTGCAACCATCCAGCAAACTCATGTCAAACTGAAGGAGCAGCTAAATCATAATCCATCTCCATCTTCAGTAGTATTTGTGCAGGAAGGGCTACCGTTCAGCACACAACAGGTAAGAGTACAGGCAAGAGTACTAACTAAGCTCACAGTACACAGTGTTTCTTGCTAAAAATGCTAGTCAAGAGTTTGTCTAGATGTTATTTGTATTCAGTGTCAGTTCATTGTGGTTTCCAAAGTGATCATGTTGTATTGGTTAAGCAAAAAAAAAAAAAAAAAAAAGAGGAAGTTACTTTAACACTAGCCATATCTGTGGTACAGTCTGAAAGGAACCTCTAGAGAGACTATCAATCAGATTGATTGTTAGAGTCTAAATACTATCTGTAGCCTGGTGGCACTTGCCTATATCCCAGCACTTAAGAGGTGGAAGCAGGAGGGTGCTGGGCATTTGAAGACACAATGAGCTATGTAGTGGGTTCAAGGCCAGCCTGGGCTATATAGATAAACCTCATCTCAAAAAACAACTAAAATTGAAAAATAATATATTTCCATTTTGGGTATTCCTTGATTTTTGTTACTTACCTTGATTTGCATACACTGAAAGATATGTTCAGCTGATACAACTTTACCACCTAAAAGAGTGGTCTATTTGACATATATGATGACTTTCTTAGCTATCTGTAGATGGAAGTAAAGATAAGTTGCAGGTCATTTCTTTCTTTTTTAAACTATTTATTCACTTTATGTTATGTGTGAGTGTGCCTGTATATGTGTTTGATAATCTTGGAAGTCAGGGGAAGGTGTCAGATTCCCTGGATCTGGGATTGTGGATGGTTGTGAACCACATGTGGGCGCTGGGTCCTCTAAAAGAGCAGCCAGTGCTCTTAACTGCAGAGCTCTCTCTCCAACCCAGATTTCTTACTTTTTTTATAACATCACAAAACTCTATTGATAATGATGCATATTAATCTTGCATTCCTAATCAATTAAACAAAAACTAGTTAATCAAAGAACATCCAAAGTAGCCCAGCCCTTTGAGGTGGGAGGAGTACCACAGTTCCAGGCCAGCCTGGGTGACAGTGTGAAATCAATCTCAAAAAGATAAGAAAACTGGGCGTTGGTGGCGCACGCCTTTGATCCCAGCACTCGGGAGGCAGAGGCAGGCGGATCTCTGTGAGTTCGAGGCCAGCCTGATCTACAGAGCGAGTTCCAGGACAGCCTCCAAAAACAATACAGAGAAACCCTGTCTTGAAAAACCAAAGGGGGGGGGAGAAGAAGATAAGAAAAATCTATACTTACTGTATGAAATCAGAAAGTTATGTAGTCTGTAGTCCATGCTGGCCAGGAATTCACATTTTAGCTCAGAATAACTTGGATCTCTGATTTTCTCTTCTCAGGTGCTAGGACAGTAGGCATGTGTCATCATCATACCTGATTAATTTTGTTTTGTTTGTTTGTTTGTTTAGATAGGTCTTATTAATGTAGTTATTTTTAAAATATCTAAATGTATATACTATTTAAGTGTAGAGATTTTCATTTTCTTCCCCCCACCTTTTTTTGGTGGTAGTGGTAGTGTTAACAGGGGATGGAATATAGGGCCTTGCCCATTCTGGTTAAGCTGTTGTATTTGAATATACTGAAAGATATACCCAGCTGATATAATTTTAGTACCTAAGCAAGCATTGTAACACTAAATGTCCTTAGATTTCTATAAATTCATTGTCTTTTTTGAGACTATTAAAATATGTATTAAGGTGATGTAATTTCAGTAAAGATAGTCTCATTTTATTTTAAATATGACTATAGAAATAAAAATATTTAGTATCTTCATAGTTATATATGTACTACTGAATTGCATGTCTTAAATTGATATAGTTATATTCTAGATAAACTTATAAAGAATAGCATGGCAGAAGTTAGTTATCTTGACAAAGGGTTTTAACATTTCAAAGAAAATTTTGGAACCAAAGAAACTCATTAATAAACAGGATGGATAGCAATTTTATAGAGAATGAATGAAGCACATACAATTTTGATACCATCTTTAATACATAATATAAAATTAGTAAAATAGTATCCATTCCCCTTAGGCAATGCGTATTTGTGACCATCCCAGGGTCACCACCAAGAGGGGTGTCAACTTGAACATACACTAACATGAAAGGATAGAGGTTTTCACCAATTATGTTTGAAATATCTTATTTGTGTAAGTCATAAAAAGCATCCAGCCTCATGGTAAATCTTCCTGTGCTCATCAGTAAATCTTTTAGCTTCATGTGCATTTCAATGACTTGAGTATGTGGAAAATGTACATCTTACTGTTGAGTATTTAGATAAGACAACACAATCAAGGGTAATACCCTACATAAGCAGAAAAACATGTTTGTGGGATCCTGTTCCTGTAATAGAACTTCTCTGATAATATATATTAACTTTTAGTAGGTATTTGGGGTAAATATCAGATAATAAGTGTGTTTACTATTTTAGGTGGATAGCAGTATAAAATGCCAGACCAATCCACAGGAGAATATCTTGCCTTCAGAACAAATGGGATTCCTTATTTCAGAAATGGGGCCTGCTAGCAAGCCTAGTAAAGACACAGGCTTATCCACTCCAGCCAGATACAGAGAGCGGAGAAGCAACTCACGAGGAAAGTCCCCTGGTAAGGTGAAATAGTGAAAGCTCTAGAATGTGTAGCTCTAAAATGCTAGAAACAGAACCTCGGTGTATAATTCATATATGAATGGTCATTTGCATGGATCTTTATTATTTATAATGTTTATGCCTCTCATGTTCCTGTTTTATAGAATTGCAGTTTAAACTGGTGTTCTTAGTTCCCTTTGTAATGTAGGTAATAGTTGTTTTCCTGATAGTGCATACAAGAATTTGAGGTTTTGGGGAACTGGGGAGATGATGGGTCAGCCAGTAAAAGCACTTACTGTGCAAGTATAAGGATGTGAGTTCAACTCTCCATTACTCACATCTTAAAAAGCCGGGCGGGCATGTGTGCATGGTCTCTGCTGGTTGCTGGGCTTACTGGCCACCAGCCTAGCTCCAGCTTCAGTGAGACCCTGTTTCAAGGGAACGAGGTGTAGAGCGATGAAAAGGGACACCTGAAGGCTCTGGTCTCTGTGTGAATGTACGTGCATTCACCCTCACTCTCTACATATTCAAAAGAAATAAATGAGAGAATACGAGCTTTCAAAATAGTGTATATATTAAAAAGAAGTAAAGCATTTCAGATTAACTTTGAACAGATAAGATGAAGGGTAATTTAGTAATCATCTTGAGATGCTAAAGTTTATTTATTAACAAATAGGGTGTGTATTTAAATTGTGAAACAAGAATATTTGATGACATTAAAGATACTACCTTGAGTACATTATAAATATAAAGAGTGAATCTGTAGATTGGTATTGTTTTTATATGTGTGGTTTATAGGCATCTAGTCATATATTGGACACTGGGGCACTTGCAGGTGGTTCCTTCTTTTGAGATGGGGTCTTCCCCGGCTGCCCTCAAACTAGAGCAGGGATTCTTTTGTGTCAGCCTTATTAACATGTAGACATATACCACTATACCCAGCTTTGATTCGCTACTGGTAGTGAATTGAGTACAAGTGTATTATTTTAATCTAAAAATGTTTTCTAACATCCAAATCAAGTCATTGTACTCTGCAGTGAACATTTTTTTCCTTTTCTTTCTTTTTTAATATGTATCCCCAGCTGACATGGAACTTACTGAGTAGCCCAGAGTGGTTTTGAATTCATAATCCTCCTGCCTCCTGAGTGATGAGATTGTGGATATGTGCCACTATATCCTGCTTTCAGTAGCTAATGGAATATTCTCAAATTAGCCAGATATGGTGACTCACTCCTGTAATATCAGCACTTGGGAGGTTGACACAGGAGGACTGATGCTACTATAGATCAAGGCCAGCATGTGCTGCAGAGTAAAACCTAGCTTCAACACACAAAATGCAGGGTTAGGGATATAACTTACTGGTAGAACACTTGCTTAGATTAAACCACAGCACTAAAAACAAAAACAAACAAAAAACCCTGAACTTAAATGCATGTTAGATGCCTGCCATATGGGCAAAATTAATTAGTCAAATTAGCCACTAACCTATATTTTTAAATATTAAGAATTTATTTGAGAAGTTGTCCAAAAAATATGAAGATAATAGTGCTCAGGTCTGTTATGGGGGCACACACCGTCATCCCTGCACTTGAAAGGTAGAAGCATTGTGAGTTTGAGGCCAGTCTGGATCACAAACGAGACCTTCTGTCAAAAACCCTGAAAGCAAACCAAGCTGGTGTTGAGACTGACAAGGGCTAGCTTGTGAGTGAGCTTGTATACTCATGTTTAGTTGAGGATATTTCCCATCAAGATTGAGATTTCTCATACTTAAAGACAGACAGGTAAAGCTCAGCTTTATCAAAGTGAAAGGACAGAAAGTAATTTTGAAGTGCCTATTTTTATGCTGTAAGAAAATTGGATGGAAGTACTGCAAATTTTTTTTTTCGAGACAGGGTTTCTCTGTATATAGGCTTTGGAGGCTATCCTGGAACTTGCTCTGTAGAACAGGCTGGCCTCGAACTTACAGAGATTCTCCTGCCTCTGCCTCCCCAGTGCTGGGATTAAAGGCATGCGCCACCAATACCCGACTGTTATTGTCATCTTTTTTTATATATATTTTATTTATCTATTGTGTATACAGCCTTCTGCCTGCAGGCCAGCAGAAGGTACCAGATCTCATTCAAGGTGGATGTGAGCCACCATGTGGTTGCCGGGAATTGAACTCAGGACCTCTGGAAGAACAGTCAGTGCTCTTAACCGCTGAGCCATCTCTCCAGCCCATTATTGTCATCTTGAGACAGAATCTTCCTATGTATCCCTGTTTGGCCTGGAACTTACTATGTAGACCAGACTGGCTTGAGTCTGCCTTCCTCTGCCTTCCAGGACTACGATTATAGATTCGACCTTGTTGGTTTTTTAAAATTACATAATGCATTACATAAGGCCACTTTTATGCAAGTATTGAATGTACTTTGAACATACCCCCTCATACCCTGCTATCTTACCCTTTTCTTTTTAACTAAGGCAGGTTTATTAAGAAAAATAATGACATGAACACAAACTTCTTTTCATTTTTTTAAATTTATTTTTCAGTTTAAATTTAGATAAGAAACAAGGTTGCTTCACAAGTCAGTTCCAGGTCCCTCTCCCTTTCCCTCCCCTCCTCCCATGCCCTCCCCCCAATCCCCCCATTATCCCCTCATTTCCACAGGGAGGGTGAGGCCCTCCATGGGGGTGTCCATAGTCTGTCATTTCATATAGGGCAGGGCCTAGACCCTTCCCCAAGAGTTCAGGGTGAGAGTGCACCTCACATTGTTGGATGGGAGTCCAAAGTCTGTGTGTATACTCGGGATGGGTACTGATCTACTTCTTTTCATTTTGAAAATTCAATGGAATAAGTATTAAGCTTTACAGAACAAAAATTTTATTTTAAATCTCAATACTGTGCCTCATATGCAAAGAGTTAATCCTTAAGCATGTTATATTTTCATTAAAATATAACTACATCATTTTCCTCCATTCACTTTCTTTTTTTTCAACTCCTCCTATGTCCTCTTTCTTCCACCCCTTTCAAGTTTCTGGCCTCCTTTTTTTTTTTTTTTTTTTTTTTTGGTTTTTCGAGGTAGGGTTTCTCTGTATTGTTTTGAAGGCTTTCCTGGAACTCACTTTTTTTTTCTTTTCTTTTTTTTTTTTTTTTGTTTTTGTTTTGTTTTTTTTTTTTTTTGAGACAGGGTTTCTCTGTGGCTTTGGAGTTTGGAGGCTGTCCTGGAACTCACTCTGTAGAACAGGCTGGCCTCGAACTCACAGAGATCCGCCTGCCTCTGCCTCCCAAGTGCTGGGATTAAAGGCGTGCGCCACCAAAGCCTCTGGCCTCCTTTTTTAAAATCATTATTGTTACACACACACACACACACAGGCACGCACACACACACACATACGTATATATGTGTGTATGTATGTATAAATATATAAATACAACATGCTGAGTCTTTTCAGTGCATGTACATAATTTCAGGACTAGCCACTTAGTGTTGGATAAGGGGCATAAGGGGCTCACCTGAGAGGGAAGATTACTTCTGCTCTCAATATCTTTTTTTTTTTTTTTTTGGTTTTTCGAGACATGCTCTCAACATCTTTTAGTTGCCTATACTTCTTTGTCTAAGCCAGTGAGATTTCCCCATCCATGCCTATTGTTGCTCTTGTTCAGATCTTGTTTAGGCAACCACGTTATTGAGTTGTAATAGGTGAAGCTGTCCTATTATTTCTAGAAGACACAGTCTTGCAAGGGATTTCCTAGTCCTCTGCTCCCTCCCAGCTCCCCTTTGTTTTTTTCGGGACAGGGTTTCTTTCTATGTGTAGCTCTGGCTGTCCTAGAACTCATTCTATAGACCATGGTGGCCTCAGAGATCCACCAGCCTCTGCCTCCTCAGTGATGTTATTAAAGGTACCACCCCACCGCCTTGCCTTTTGGTTCTTAAAATCTTTCTTCTTCTTTGGAGGTGTTTCTGAGCCTTACGTACAGGAATTGTCTTGTAGATATATCCACTGGTCTCGGCTAGACACCCCACAATCAGTTATTCTCTGCATTTTGACCATTCGTGGTCTTTTGTAATGTTCTCTTCCAAAGGGAAGTTTTTTTTTTTTGTAAGGGTTGGGAGCTACACTTCTTTGTGGATATAAAGATAAATTAGGAATTGTTCTGGTTTAGTAAGCTAGTGGTAGTAAGGTTCTCGTCTAAGATCCATGGTCTCATTAGCCCTGGGTAGTTGGCTAGATTTCCGGTATCAAGCATGATTTCCTTGCTGTTGAGCAGATCATAAATCCAATTTTATAGCTGTTGGTTACTGCCAAGATGTGAATGTCACTATTACACCTTTAGGGATGTCTTGCCTTGCTTGTCTTTTTTATAACAGAAAAGTTCTGTTATAACTATAAACCACATTTTTTTATCCATTTTCAGTTAATAGACACCCAGTCTAGCTTTTGTTGCCTACCTTCCACTAAAATAGTTCTAAAAAGCTTGCAGATTAATATAGGATCTGAGTAGTCACATACTTTGGAGAACAGGCTTACTAACCCTCTGGCATTTTAATCTTTTCTAAAACTGGCATATATGCATTTGTAAATAGTAGTTGGTTTCATAATCTTAAGATAAAGATACCTGCTTTCTTATTTTTGGCCATTACAGATGAGAGATAAAGCAACCAGAGATCTCATTTAGATCATTTTAATCCTGAACAGTGTTTGCTGTCTGTCTTGTTCATTTTCTCCCTTCAGCCTAGTAACAACCTATATTGAGGTCATATGAAAGTGTGTTATATTGGACTTAGTTGAACTTGATTTTTTGCTTTTTAAAACTTTGTTGTAAATATGTTCTTTTTGGAGATTTATTTATGCACAATGGGATTATTAAAGTAAGTTCTTGGTCTAAAAAGAAGATACATGATAAAATTTGGATGCTCTTTCTAAGACTTTATTTTAAAATTTTTTAAGTTTCATTTTATGTGTTTGGGAGCTTTGCCTGCATGCACATCTGGGTACCACTTTCATGCCTGATGCTTACAGAGACCATAAGAGGGT